ATTTGCAGCGCTGGTCGTGGTCGTCGTGGCCACCTCGGCGTCTGCAGGCGCTTCGGGGGGTTCTCCAGCTGCAAGTGCAGCTGCCTCTGCAATGGCGCGGCGGTGGGAGCTGGGGCGGGAATGGTGGAGCTGGGGCAGGAATGAGGGGAGCTGGGGCAGGAATGAGGGAGCTGGGGCAGGATTGAGGAGCTGGGGCAGGAATGGGGGAGCTGGAGCAGGAATGAGGGGAGCTGGGGCAGGAATGGGGGAGCTGGGACAGGAATAATGGAGCTGGAGCAGGAATGGGGGAGCTGGAGCAGGAATGAGGGAGCTGGGGCAGGAATGAGGAAACTGTGGCAGGAATGGGAAGCTGGAGCAGGAATGAGGGAGCCTGGGCAGGAATGATGGAGCTGGGGCAGGAATGGGGGAACTGGAGCAGGAATGGGAAGCTGGAGCAGGAATGGGGGGAACTGGGGCAGGAATGGGGATCCAGCCTCATGCTCCTGCACCAGATCCCGGTGCCTCGTGGCTGCCCCTGGCTCCGGGATGGGAATGGGGAGAGGGCCAGGCCAGCAGAGCCAGGAGCGGGACACTGGGAATGCCCTGAGGGACTGGGGCTGTGGCTGCAGCTGCAGCGACAGCTGCACGTGTGGAGGCTGCAGATGTGCAGGAGGATGCAGATGTGGAGGCAGTGCGGATAGGGATGCAGACGTGCATGCCGGAGCAGGTGGGAATGCGATGCAGAGCCCGATGCGGTGGCAGCAGCAGGACGGCGCGCTGGGCTGGCCGCTCCGCGCAGGGCGGTCGCTGCAGCCTCCCTTGGCCCCTCGTGCCGCTGCATGCGGCCGAGCTGCATCCCAGGCTTTCCCAGCACGTCCTCGGCTTTCATCCGAGCTCACCTGCATGCACCAGCCAGGCTGGGCACAGCATTTTCCGCTCCCTCGCCTGTGTCCCTCGTGCCCCGTCTTGCCCACGTTGTGCCCATGCCTGTGCCCGGTTGCCATCTGCTCCGTGTGCTGCTCCTGCATCCAGGGGCCTCACCGGCCCTGCAGCCTCAGTGCTCGCTGCGGGGATGGCACAGGGCTGGCATTGCTGCAGGGCTGGCATTGCTGCAGGGCTGGCATTGCGGCAGGGCTGGCATTGCTGCAGGGATGGCGTTGCGGCAGGGCTGGCATTGCTGCAGGGCTGGCATTGCGGCAGGACTGGTGTTGCTGCAGAGCTGGCATTGCTGCAGGGCTGGCATTGCTGCAGGGCTGGCATTGCGGCAGGGCTGGCATTGCTGCAGGGATGGCGTTGCTGCAGGGCTGGCATTGCTGCAGGGATGGTGTTGCTGCAGGGATGGCGTTGCTGCGAGGATGGCATTGCTGCAGGGATGGTGTTGCTGCAGGGATGGTGTTGCTGCAGGGATGGCGTTGCTGCAGGGATGGCATTGCTGCAGGGATGACATTGCTGCAGGGATGACTGCTGCAGGGCTGGCGTTGCTGCAGGGCTGGCGTTGCTGCAGGGATGGCGTTGCTGCAGGGATGACATTGCTGCAGGGATGACTGCTGCAGGGCTGGCGTTGCTGCAGGGCTGGCATTGCTGCAGGGATGGCGTTGCTGCAGGGATGGAATTGCTGCAGGGATGACATTGCTGCAGGGATGACTGCTGCAGGGCTGGTGTTGCTGCAGGGATGGCGTTGCTGCAGGGATGGCGTTGCTGCAGGGATGGTGTTGCTGCAGGGATGGCATTGCTGCAGGGATGGCATTGCTGCAGGGATGACATTGCTGCAGGGATGGCATTGCGGCAGGGCTGGCATTGCTGCAGGGTTGGCGTTGCTGCAGGGATGACATTGCTGCGGGGATGACATTGCTGCAGGGATGGCATTGCGGCAGGGCTGGCGTTGCTGCAGGGATGGCATTGCTGCAGGGATGGCATTGCTGCAGGGCTGGCATTGCGGCAGGGATGGCAGGGATGGCATTGCTGCAGGGATGGCATGTTGCGGTGGCACCGATGCAGGGTGGGATGTTGGAGTGGCATCATTACGGGATGGGACTTGTCGTTGCTGCAGGGGTGTTGGGATGTCGTCGTTGCAGATTGGGATGTTGGGATGGCCTTGATCCAGGAGCAGGACGTTGGGATGTGGTCGTTGCCGGTTGGGACTCTGGGACGGTGTTGATGCAGGGACAGGGGTTTGGGATGGCCTTGCTCCAGGAGCAGGGTGCTGGGATGCAGCTGATGCAGGATGGGTCATTGGGATGGCGTCATTGCAGGGATGGGATATTGGGATGGCATCACTGCAGGATGCATTCCAGAGTGCAGCCCTTTGGGTGCAGCCTCCTTGAGTACAGACTTTGGGATGCAGTGTTTTGAGTGCAGCATTTTGGATGCAGCCTGCTCCCTGGGTGCAGCTCTCCACTTTGCAGCAGCTTTGGGTGCAGCCCTCTGCGGAGCAGCCCTTTGGGTGCAGTATTGCAGGGTGCTGCAACTTTGGGTGCAGCCTCCTGCCCAGATGCAGCATTCCAGGCTGCATCCCTTTGGGTGCAGCATTCCGGATGCAGTCCATCCTGGCTGCAGCCCTTTGGGTGCAGCGCTCTGGGTGCAGCACTGCGGGTGCAGCTCATCCTGGGTGCAACCCTTTGGGTGCAGCACTCCAGGTGCCTCCCTGGGTGCAACCCATCCCAGGTGCAGCCCTTTGGGTGCAGCCCTTTCAGTGCAGCACTGCGGGTGCATTCCTGGGTGCAGCCCATCCTGGGTGCAGCCCTTTGGGTGCAGCCCTTTGGGTGCAGCACTCCAGGCGCATCCCTGGGTGCAGCCCTTTGGGTGCAGCACTCCAGGCACATCCCTGGGTGCAGCCCTTT